CTCACAGAGCTTCAAAGTATGCTTTCAGAGATCCAAGAGTTAACTGCTGCCATTGCTGAACAGAGAGGTGTGCAGAACAACAAACACCAAGACCTGAAAGATCAAGTGTCTAATCAGCAGTCCAAGCAAACAGAGCCAGTTGTAACTTTAGAAGAAAACAAGCCTGACAGTATTAATCTCTTGGACGATGTGGTAACTGAACAGTCTGGTTGTGATCAGCATGAGGCTCTCTGCTCTGAACTGAAGGCCAAAGAGGATGAAATCCAGAAAATGTCTGTTGAATTACAAGAGGCAAAATCAAAGAGTCAGGCCTTGGAGACCCAAAACAACATGTTGGCCACTGAACTGGAATGGGAATGGTTGTTCAATAGCAGCCTCTGTGGAGAGTTTCGCAACCTTGTCTCTGAGCAGCAGGAGAAGCCACCTGAGTTAAAAGAGTCAGCTGTAGTTGTGGAGGCAGCCAGTACTACTCTTGCCCATGTTTGTAAGGGGCAGAGCAAAGAGAGTGTATCTTGCCAGAGTCCTGTTGCAGAGGATAGCAATACCCTGCCATTGCTATCAGGGGTCAGCGCCCTTATACAGGTCCTGAGCCGGGCAGACGAATTTGGCCAGCAGGTTCAGCAGGCAACAGTGAAGAGGTGGCAGGAGATAGTGCATCAGCACAAGACCTTCATAGAGTGGCTGCTGTCCAAAATGAGCAGGGAAAGGCACCGCAGAGGGAAGCCGGAGATTTTGGTGGAAGAGATCCAGCAAAGAGTTTCTGTGGACCCCAGGATAAAGCTCTGCTTTGATTTAGACAACCTGCAGGGTGAGGCAAAGAATCAAGACCCCTGCTTGCAGAAGAATAGGGAGGAGACCGCTGCAGCACAGTGGGCCAAAGTAAAACAACTCCAGATTGAGGCTGAAGAGCAGAGTTGCTGTCTAGAAAAGGAAAAAAGGGAGCAAGGGGCCAGACTGAGTGCTGAGGTCCTGCCGGAGAGGGAGAAGAATAGAGAGGAGTACAAACAACAGGTAAGGCAGCAGCAAACGTCTGACTGACATTTCACTGTTGTCTAGTCATTTTGTAATCCTTTCAGGTGTCAATGGCTCAGGCTTTATTTTAAAACTGCAGTTTGAGCATCCCTAGTATGCCACATTTTCTCAAACTAGTGTAATAGTGTCCCATTTTTTCTTGGAGATGGCATGTAAGGCAGTATTTTGGAAGACTGTGCAAAAGATTTAAAAAAAAGACAATGTACAAGATATTCTCAAAGACAATTTTTTACAAAATTTGTACCACGGTTTAAAAACTCATTCAAGAAACCTACACACTGTGGAAGTTTTGCATCTCTGTGATTCTGTGAATATGAAGTGTGAGGTTTTCAAATGTTTTCTTCAGGTGGAGAGACTCTTCCTTTCCCTTAAGAAGGAGAAGCAGGAATATGCCCGGCTTACAGGAGAACTATCCAAGCTGCAGGACTACCTGCAATCCTTCAGGAAGAAGGAGAAAGAGAGGGAGGAATCGCTGATCATGGAACTGGCAGAGAGGGACAAGAGAGTGGAAAAATATCAGGTGAAACTTTACAGCTGATACAGATTTGTCTGCAAGAGTTGATGTAAAGCTTAGCGTCCGACTCTCTGTGCCCTCTTCTGAAGCATGTCATCAATAGCAGCCTCACCACCTGCTGACACAGAGTTGTGCTCTCTTCTCCTTGTTTCACTGTTGGCCCTGAAGTAGTGCTCTGGAGTGACATTCTTAGTGTCTTTCAGGATTTGAAATAGTTAGCACGTTCTTTTGTGTGCTCCACTGTTCGAACCTACAGAGAGAGCTATGGTTTGAAGTTTCTATGGCCTTCTAACCTAATCTTGTCAAATGTCACAAGCTGGGTGAAGCAGTGCCTGGTCAGGTTACTGTCAGGTTACAGTGGTGGTAGTGAACCAGTAGATGGTGCCCTTCTCTGGACCAGAATTTTCAAATTCCATTCCCCATGAACACGGGATAGGGGACACTGTGCTGTAGCTGGCATCATTCTTTGAACGAGATCTTAAACCAAAGTCTTGCCTGACTCCTCGATCATGAAAGATCCTGTGACAGGTTGTGTAAGACCAGTGTGTTGACTAGAGTGTCCGGGAGACATTCCACTCTGGTATTTTCTGACCTTCCTCAAATTCCACCTTAATTCAGGGGATTAAATACATCCTCACCTGATCTGCTGTACAGAGGGGCAGTTGGTATCTAACAGGTGCTGCACATCCGTGGGGGGTGAAGTGGGTTCATGGGAAGTGCTCTGGGAAAAAAAGATGTAATTAATTATTATAAGGAATCAATGCTGTAGTTTAACGTTTCTGTCTAAACAGTTCTGACAGAGGATTAAGTAGGACACTTCTATTGCTTAAGTGTCTGTGTAAATGTACTGTGTACAGCTTTGATTACAGATAAGGAGCCTCAGTATAAAAGACTGTAGTACTGAGTATTGAGTCAGGTAATAAGCAGATACTGTATATAATGATCGGAGACTTGCCACAACACACATACTAGATTAAGTAACTTTAGTGGGACTAATAGGAAAACACTCAAATCTAGATGGGACAGCATCCTACCTGTATTCCCAGACTGAAGGATTCATGATTGATCTCAGATTTTCTACATGGTATGCTCTTTTCTTTCCCCTCATGCACAGAAGAGGCAGAAGCTGCTGTTCCTATCTTGGCTGCGGGCCGAGAGCTCGAGGACGTCCCTGAGCTACCAGAAGAAGTTCATTGGGCTGCAGCTGAGCCGTCGCTGGAGCCCGGAGAGGGCCCTGGGCCCGTTCGGCCCTCAGCCGGCCCACACTTCCGGCACCCAGCTCAGCGCCCCGCCGCGGGCGAGCCCCCGGCACAGATTCAGAACCGCGGCCTTCGTGGTCATTGCCATCACACGGTACGCATGCTCATGGGTGGAAGGACAAGGCCCCTCTGCAAGGAAGGTGTTCTTTAGATGTGTTGCAATGGCGGTATTCCATACAATGGGTACAAGCCAAAGCACTCAACTTCTCTTCCACTCTTCCAGCTTTTTCAGTTGCACATGGAACATGGAGTTGCACACAATTGGTGTTAGAAATGAGTGTGTCCCATCCACATACTGGTCAATGTGTAAACCCCCTCCAATCACAACTGAGCCACAGAATGGTCCAAATGGAGGAGCTCACACCTTCCTAATGCCTTAATGTCATGCATTAAGTGAGGGCTAATAAGGTTGTTTTTTCGGAAACTTGCCGTTCCGGGGGGTTCGGCCTTTCCAATTGGACCATTTGGCCCTTTTTAGGGAAGCTCTGCTTAATATGAATGCTCACTGCGAGATTCTTATATGCTTTGAGCTTTTTATGAATATGGCAGAATCTATCCCTACAGATCTTCTTGATTTCTCATCTACAGGATGAAGTGGCTGGCGGGAAGATGGCTGACTGTGACCCAAGTCCGACGTCCTTTTTCTGCAATACAAGACTTGGAATTCCAGTCAGGTAAATATATATTCCAGCTACAGTCTCCTTGCATACACCATAATTAGCGTTAATCTGCCATTTTCTCTTATAACGTCCTGGGTAAGCACGAGTGAGGTTCTGTAAAGCCTCTATGAAAAACAATACATCTTATTCTTGTGATTCACTTATTATTTAACTGTTGTTTGAACAAAATATTATTGACATTCTTTCTATGTCTAAACTAGACAGCATCATGTACCCTTTACTTTAACTTGAACGCACCCAGTGGAACACCAGCATAGCTTAATCAAGCCATGGTTGCACATAATTACACTTGTTAAGGGAACATGTTTCTAAGCAAAGCTGGATTTTTCTCACTTTACAGACCCAGTCTCAAGCATTCTTCGGGAATATCAGCCTGACCTCCCCCTGGAAAAGGATGCTCTCATTGCAGATGCAAACGCCCTGACAGCTAAACAGCAACCCTTCTTCCTCAACTAGCTGTAAAGACAAAAAAAGAATGGAAAACAGTTACCTAGTTTGTTTTGAATAGTGTGCTTTTGGTCATTTGGAGTTACAGCTGAAACGTGTTTGTGTTAAGAGCCTTATTTTTTGCTTGCTGTTGTATGAACCCCTTTGTTAAATTGGTTAGGTTTGCTAATCAAGTCCTTGTTGTGACCTCAATAAGCTCTGGCATAAAACAACGTGATAAAAACTGTTCTTCGGCTCTTAAAGGTGCCCTTGACATTCTGCTGATGCAATAAGATGCCGCAGTTAAGAACTAACCTGCTTTTCTAACAATATTGTGTCAAAGTTATTGTATTAATTTCTACATTACTCTGCTGATGTATCTTGACACTTATTCCTCTGTATCAGAGAACAATAAAACAGATTAACCTCAATAAAATATTTTTTATGCAAATGACTGCTTTCTTTTGTGCTAATAAATGAGGTTGTTGTATATTACTGGGCCACTTTGCATGGCAATACTGTGCTCTCTTTTCACTATATGTGCAGGAGCTGGCTGGTACAGACAGGGTATTTGGATGATTGTGCTGTACCAATGTTTCCATAACTCCTGTGCTTTGGTAACCGTGTGTGAATGAGATTTATAGCGTAGGCTGCTGTTTAATGCCCGGTGGAATGCTGTTTGACGACCCGACCTTTGTTTGCTTTTGCCTCACAGGTACAGGATTGATTTGCATACGCTTCACCAAGCCTTTTCCTGCTAATGGGGAGGGGTGGCTGTTTAACCTCCACCCACAAGCAGGAGATGAGCGATTCCAGGCAGATCATGATGTTGACCATCGGCGACTCCGGTCGTTCAGTTTATTCCGCTCGACACGAGTGCCACTCTCTATGTATTCAGTCTCGGCTTGTTTGTTACCGACACATGTAACCGTGCTTTGGTTTTGCATTCAGGTAGGAAAGGCTGATGCGTCAACTCTAGGAGCTGAGAGAACTACTACTCGGAAAGAGAGAGAGACGAGAGAATCCGAATCAATTGCTCCGTTTCCCTAAGTGTTTTCAAGGTGAGGAAATGAAATGATCTTCTTTCTGCCTTGGGTTGGTTTTTACCTGAGAAATAGAAGGTGAGCGGGTGGGTGGGCACTATGATGCCACCGAAACTGGGAGCTAGTGGGAAAACTGGGAGATCCCTCACAGATACCCCAGTAGATGCGAGTCCAGACCTGGCTGTGGAAGCAGTGGGATGTCTCCACCCTAACAGCAGACCTGTGCCCAGGCTTAACCCGAGAGTCAGACTTCACCCGCTGGAGGCAGCTGGGCAGTTAGGGAGCTATGCTGTTGCTCCCCTGAATGGACCTGGGTGCATGGAGACAACAGGAGAACACAGAAAAGCAGTGCAGAAAATCTACATTGACCTCCGACCTGTGCTGGCAGCTGTCAATGAACCTGAGGACTCTTCAGGGAGATGCCCCTTTGAGCAGGAAGCGTCTCTGGTCCAGTGTGGTGTGAGTACCCCAGAACAGAAGGACATCCTTTCTCCAGAGCCGCCATTCCAATGCAGAATGCACCCACCGAGCCCCTGGAGTAAATCAGAAGCAACCTGGCTGGTCAAGACTGTTTTGCCTCCCATTGCAAAATCATCAGAGAGGAATTCTCCAAGCCCAGAACACATGAAGATTCCAGGGGCATCTCATCCCTCTGTGGCACTGGTAAGCCTATCTGAGGACAGCAGTTTGATGGGCTCCAATCGCTGCATGGCATCCCAGAACTCTCATCTCTTTCACAAAATGATCTTCCAGCAGAGCAGCCCTGAGACCTCCAGTCCTGTGAGCACAGAGATGGTAAGAGCTTGACATTTATCCTCCCCTATTCACTCCCACCCCATCCTCCATCTTCAGCCCATCTCCCACCTTTTCATTTTTTTCCAATATCAATGTTCAAATTGAGCTGCATTAAAAACTCTGCATCCACCATCTGAAACAAGAACGAATCCCATACTGTTCCCTTCCTAGATGCACATGGAAGTTTTAAGATGTGAGCATTGCTGTTCGTTAGCAGAAAGCATGCTGGTAACCGGCACCTATTGAGAACGTGATCATCTTCCCCTGTAGAGAACTTTAAGTGCTTGGAATGTCTGTCTCCCGGCCAGCATGCTGGATTAATGTCATGTACAGATCCTCAGGCCAATTCTCTCTGCAGAGGCCTTCGCTGGAGCCCCAGGAGGTTGGGGTCCCCATTCAGCTCCTGCTCAAGAAAATGAGAGAAAGGGAGACGGAGGGGTACAGGAAGGGAGGCACCTGCCCCGACCACCTCCTCTTCGCAAGAGTTCTTCGCTCCCTGAGAGAGGAGCAGCTCCACCTGGATTCCCCAGGTCCACTGTAAGCACATGGTCCCGTCAGCTTTCTTGCACAAAGCATCCCTCAAACTGCTTCCACGTCGGGGACAAACCCTAAAACTGAAATGACTTTAGGTGCTTTTCAAGAAAATGCTTGATGCCCTATTGCAAGGACACTGACCTTCGAGACACATGAACCCTCCTGCATGTTAAGCAATATGGGTAAAAGATAAAAAAAAAGTCACATTTTCACGGTTTCAGAAGAGGTGCATGTGATTTGTTAAAGAACAATCAAGTGCAGGAGCCCTCCAGAGAGTCACATCTGAAGAAGTAATAGCTGGTGCAATCTGAGCTGTGTGAGAAGCGCTTGATTGAATGAGTGCATTTGCATTGTAGTTGGAAACTCGGAAACTTTAGTGTCACAGTGACCTGTGCGATTTGGCCTCCAAGCAGGAAAGCTGCAGAGTCATTATGTTCTTCCTAGTACAGGTACAATTACTCAGTTTTGACAATGCAAAATGCAGCCCAAAGCCTCCCATTTCAGCATCTTTAAATTCAGAGAATTTCCTAATTAACCCAGCAGGCCAGTTTTGCACTATGACTGTATGCAATATGTTTGAATTACTGCAAAGCAGCAGAAGGTTGCCTCCTTTATTCTTCGACATGTTTGTAAAGGTGTATAAAAAGAGACAATGCTTTGGAGCTTAGAGCTCCAAGTACCAGTGATCAGAAGTTCAGAAACCCACTTTACAACTTAAATAAGCCAGAACATTTCAATCCATTTGTTTTCCTGTCATTCTTCTTACATTTCAGGGTTCAGTCTGGTGTTGAAACTTGGGAATGTTTGGGCAATGGAGTCTTTCAGAGAAATGAGCATTTCAAGGCTGAAGTAAAATTGTTTTAACATGAGGGAATTCAATTTAAAAATAGCTTCAATCACCAATTTACTTTTGGGTATCTGGGGCAAATACAAGCATAATGAAAACATTAATTTAATGATGGGAAACCAATATTTAATCTGCATAATAGGACTAGCATTTCTTTTTTATTTATTATTCAATGAACTGTAGCCATAATTTTGAATGTTCTTACTAGAAAACATTTTATTTTTGGTGTGGGAAGCTTAAACATTTTGAATTTCCCTTTTCTGCAGAAATGGATCTGTATACTCTGGTTACTCTGGTCTGTTACACTGGTAATTTAATTATAAAGAAAAATCAACTTTGAGACTGGTGCCAAAAAGTAGCAGCCAAATCTTTTAGCTTTAAGCCTTGGTGCTTACATCGTTTCATAAAGAAGGTTAAGAGAAAGCCCGTGAATTTCTGATGGGATGCCACTTGGAATTTCTGCAGGGAAAGTGGGAAGTGCACTGCGTCCAAGCCAAGCAGGGGACACAGGAGGGACACCACAAGGACATGCAGTGACCCTTCAGCCTCTCTCTCATCCCACCGGAGAAGGAAGGCGCTTGTGACTCTCAGTCTGTGCAAGAGGAGCCTGCCTGCGCTGAGACACAAAGGACCCTGCAGCAGTGGAAATTCTACTTCACAAACACACCTTCCCTAACCCACATACCTCCGAAGAAAGAGCAAATCCCAAAAGGAAAACGAAACCTTGCAGGGGATGTTTGTTTAGTTTTACGTGTGCTGTTAAGGTACGTTCACATCTTCCAAGGGACTGGCCGAGTGTTCTTATACAAAGATTCAGTTTCCAGTTGATCAGACCACAATTGGGAACATACTGTACATTTTACACACTGAGAGTTCAAACATTTTAAAAAGAAATGATGAGATCTGGAAAGCCCCTGGACTCCAGCCTCTGTGCTGTGATAATGCATTGTTAAAAATAATCCTCAACAAAACAGTGACCCGACCTGTTACACTTTGGATTCAAAAGCATGTAACCCTCCCTCCCCATCTCCTCTAAGACGGATCATATATCTACAGTCTGCCCTGTGTTTTCTTTCTTATCAAGCCAACACATACACACACACACTGAGCTTTTCATCCATTAAAAGTTTACTATATGCATATATTATAATATATAGATCAATTCATACTTCTGCAATTCATTATGTACAACCTAAAGAACAAAGTACTCTACATGTGTGAAAAAAGCTTTCATACATTCAGTAGTATATACAGTACATATCTTCAGCATGCCTTACAGTCCAGAAAGCTGCCTCCTTGATGGGAAGCAGTAGTGGTTGTTCCTCCTTTTAGCTTCCCCACTCCACCAGAACACTCTGGAGCAGAGTCACAAAGAGCTTTGATTCAGTCCGAAGTTTGTCACTGCAGATTTCAACATGGGGGACAGAACAGAAGACACGTGACCCGATAAAGGCCATGAGTGTAACCTTGTACTCAAGTCGTGCAGGTTCTTCAAGTGCTTGCATGGACCACTAACATTAGACAGGTGCTAACTGTGACCCCCGCACAACCAGAGCCGTAACATGGTATGAATTCAACCAGGACCTTTATTATGTCATTTGTAATTAACAGGATCTATAGAGCAATTATTGGGCCTGAAGGTTTATTGCAATGGAGCTGACTGGATGGCATGTAGGGTGAAAAGCCCAGGACTACATTATTCAATCAGTTTATTTTTCAGAATCACGAAAATGAACTTAGTGAAGTGTGGGAAGGTTCAATTTCTATGCCAGCCTACTCTGAGTCAAACTCCAAGTGTAATAACCCAGCTGGAGAAGCAATGAGCTCACAGGGAGAAACAGAGCTCTCTGGGAAGGATACTAGAACATTGTGGGTTAACCCTCCTCATCGCTTGTTTGTACCTTGTGTATATCTGGGTAGACTGGAGTAGTTCCGATAGTGTATTTTTGCTCAATGATACGACACCACCAAACTAGGCCCCAGACCTTAGAATCCTGAGCTCCATGCTGTCTCCTTATTTGTACCTGAGAGCTGGACATTATAGACTTCAAACATGCAGATCTTAAAAGAGCAGAATTACAGCAGGAACCTGCATGCTACTCGTAGGGTCTCTACCTTATGAATTTGAAACTTAGTTTAGGTTGCCCAAGTTAGACCAGCCTAAAGTGCTCATTGCCTCGTTGCCTTGCGAACAAGTCTCTTGAAAAGCTCTCATAAAATAAATTGTATTTTAATTTTTGCTAAAGGGGTTTCAGTCCTCACCAGGAACAGCAGACTGTAACTGGCTGGATGTAATATTACTTCCCTACTCATCTTTGTCATCAATGGTTTTGTTTGCTATACAGTACAGCTGCCAGAGACGTTATATTATTGTAACGTGTGAATGGTGCACTTCAGGGCAAGCGCTGAGGTATTACAAGCTAAGAACACTGAATCCAGCATGAGTAAAGACCACCCAGAACCCCTCTGTGATGTTTTCATTTTAGACCAGATGTATCAGAGATCTGGTAAAGAAAAAGAAACATCACAGTGCTTAGCAAAACTGCAGTGCTTGAAGTACCACAGTTTTGATGAGGCTCCATAAAACAAAGGTGTCAGTAGAGAGAAGGAAATAGAGAAAATCATCATCCCAAAATGATGAACATGTCAGATTAAGAGGAATAGTAACAGTAACAGCGACTGATTCTAAAATCTTGGGGGCTCTAAAGTTATAGAATGTTATTCTTCAAAGTGCTTTGTGCATCATAGAAATAACCACCCATAACTGAGGGCTTAAAGAAACAGCAGCCATTACTTTAAGCCTGTAAATAAATAATTAGAAATAAATAATTTATAGAAAAAAAAAATTGCAACACTTTCCAAAGACATTGTGATGCCCTTGACTTTTAAAATATGCATCTTATATGCAGATATGTGGGAATTCTATGTTTCAGCTCAGCTTTAATCTGCATGGGGGTTGAAGAGCAGAGGCAGACTGACCTCTGGCACATCATCAAGAGATGGATGAAAACATGTCACAGGCGGTGGTTCTAGCTAGCAAGGCACCAAACCTTGGGGAAAAGCTGCCCAAGCAAAGCAGTGGTCCTCATCCACATGGCGAGAAGGTGCCTGCTCTCAGGTTCACTGCCCTACCCAGGCCCTCTAGCCTGGCCTACCTGGACCACCTCACTGGAGGATGGATACTCCCCCCATTTCACAGCCGGCTCTCTTGCACACTGCTGTCCTCCAAGAACAATGTTAGACGCTTAGGGTCCTTCATGTCAAGGGCATCCATGATGTCTTCAGTGCCATTGACCACCACCTCCTCAGGCAGCTTCCCACAGCTGTGGCCCTTGGCATCATTAGTGCCCTCTACCCCATTGGCCATCGGCTCTTTCAGCTTGGCATGGTCAGTCCCGTCTGTGAAGCCTGCACTGTCCACAGTGACCTCTGCCACCCGGTTCACAGTCACCTCTCTCAGCTGGTCATCATCACTCTGGTCCTTGGCAAAGTTCACAAAGACCTGCAAGAGATCACCAAGCTGACTCGATGCCATCAAGACAACCCTGTAATTTGTCTCTCGAGGACATTAAGTCAATATCCCATATTTCTAAAGCACAGATTACATCATAACATCATAATTATTCACCTCCTGCAGTTATAGCAGTTCAGCTTTACATCTCTGTATAGTTCCTTCCACTCCACGCATACCAAAAGCTCTTTTCCTTTTTTAATAGTTCCTCCGACTCTGATGACTATGGAGTGACAACATGGACTTCCATAACCAAACCGTGGAAATGGTATCTTTTTTTCATTGACAGAGGATACCCGACAGTTATTGACAGGGCCCTCACCATACCCAAAAACAGCTCTTGGATCATCATCAACACAAATAGGAACTCATGGACTCACAGGTGCATTCCATTGGTACTTCCCTACCACCATAACACCCTTTCTATTCCCAGGAACATCCGTTACAACTTCTCCATCTTATAAGATGACCCTTCCACTGGAATCTTCTTTCCTGACCACCTTATCATCTCATATCACTGACCACCTAATCTGCACACCCTTCTTTTTCACAGCTTCCTTAACCACTCACAGCAATCATCCACATCAGGCGCTTCCCCCTGGAACAGAACCGACTGCATCACCTGCAAATATATATCCAATACCAAGCACTTTCAAGGCCTCTCTTTTCATTTAGAAAATGCCCAGCTGTTTACATTTATGAGACAGGAAGAAGACTGCTTCAGGGAACATGTCAGAGCTATAAGGATCAAAGATCTCTCCAATCCGATAGTTCCCTATTTCACCTCTAACAGCCCCGATCTTTCTGATCTCTCCATCTGCATCCCCACAGAGGGGTTTTCGGAACTCCTATTGTAGAGAGCCATCCCAAACCAAAATTATCCTGAAACATGGACCACACCTTCCCGCTTCTCTCACCAACAGACTTAACTCCTTCTAAATCCTCTCTATTCATTTGCAGATTTCAGCTTTACACACCTCTGTTCCTGCTCTCCCCGAGTTTGGACTCTCATTCTCACCCGCTTCACGCCCAATTCCTCCTTGCTCTCCACCCCTTCTTGCCTACTCGGTCCTTCGTTCTCCTATGTCTTATTTATCCGCTACTTTCCCTTTCTCCCTCACACCCAAAGAAGGCTCCACAGCCTGTTCCTTTGCAAGCTGAGTTCAAGTCATACCAGGGCGACAACTACAGTAACCAAGCGTCCCCACCCAGTCTCTGACCGTGTTCCAGCCCGATGCCCTGGCCCGCCCTTGGATCTCACCTGGTCCAGGGTGGTTTGTGACACAGAGTAGTCCCCGATGCCCAGGCGCTGGCAGTTCTGGGACAGCGTGGCGAAGACATGTGCCAAAGAGCAGGCGCGGGAGGGCAGCTGGTACTGCAGCACATTCTGGTGGCGCTCCTTCAGCTCGATTCCCAGGAAGGCACTGCGCATGAAGAGATCCACGGGGCAGGGCCGGCCGGTGGGTGCCGACAGGCGGAGGACGATGGTGTAGCCGTCGCCGAACCTGGGCAGTAATCAGGGTACAGGGCTTCAGTGAAAGGAAGGCAGGGAGCTACATGGCTGCTCAAAAGAAGCCAAAAGGGAGCCAAACAAAAAAGGGAACCCATTGGCTCACTTCGCAATAGGAATTGCATTATAGGACTATCAAAGGGTGCAGATGCTGTGGGAGCTCAATAACACGTATTGTATCATTGTGAATAAAAAGAACAAGACTACAATACATGCTTCATTGTATTATCTCCTCCTGTATTTTTAATACACACAAGCAGATAAAGGTTTCTTCCATGCTGAGAGGAGAATGAGAAGAGACACAACGTTTAGGCTGTGGAGACTTTTTCAGGTGAGAAGAAGAAGGTCCACACCTGGAGAAGGCTACACAGCTGAAACATTGAGTCTCTTCTCTTCCTGGGAATGGAATAAACCTTTAGCTGTTCCTCTGCAGCCTACGCCTGCTGATGCAGCTCCCTACTCGAACTTTGTTTAATACACATACGACCTCTTCCAGTCATTAATCAACACTTGTCAGGGCAGGCACAGGATCCCCACGGGTGCTACCTGTTCTTGAGGTGCTGGATGGAGCCCAGGCAGCGGAACCGCCCATTCACCATGATGGCCATTCGAGTGCAGAGAGCCTCACACTCCTCCATACTGTGGAGAACGAAAGAGACACCGGCAGTATCAACCAAACAGACACACTGTACTTAACTCGTCATCTCTGTACAAATATCTTGATTAAGTAAAATAAAAAACACTAAAAATACTGTAAGTGTTTATTAACATCATTGCAATTTTCTGAACTCACTAGCACTAATGCTCTGTCCTCTGGCAGGAGTCAAAAAAAAGCGAAACACTAGCTAAAACACTGAGCTGTTGAGTGCTATCCCCCCCTACCTGTGGGAGGTGAGGATGACCGAGCGGCCCTCTTTTATGACACTGAGGATGCAGTTCCAGAGAAAACGTCTGGCCTTGGGGTCCATGCCAGTAGTGGGCTCATCCTGCAGAACAAATGCAGAGACTCTGGTAACAACAAGCACATGTTCCGCAAAGGTCCAACGGCACCGTTTGCAATTCCAGAGAAATGCAACAACTGCAGACTAACCAGGAAGACAACAGGGGGCGCTCCGATGAGGGAAATGGCAGTAGAGAGCTTGCGCTTGTTGCCCCCGCTGTAACCTCCCGCTGGGCGCTCGGCGTACTGCGTCAAACCCAGCTTCGCCACACCCCACTGCGCCACCTAGAGGATGGGCCACAGAACATAACACTTTGACAGTCCAGCCTTTTTCTGTTCACTGACTGAGAGACAAGAGCTGAATCCAGGGGTTAAGTTCCAAACAGTGAAGTCTGGGATACAGGCCTGTTATTACTGTTACCTTAGCAACAATCTCCTCCTGGGCTCCTCTTAACCGGGCATAGAACTCCAGATGCTCCCTGCCTGTCAGCAAGTCACTGAGGGCATCGAACTGTGGACAGTACCCCATCAACTGGTGCACCCTCTCCAGGCTGGTCAGCACGCTGCCAGGGACAGGGCACACCGTTAAGATGGCTCAAGGCTGCCAGTTCTCAAATAAATGCTAAACAGCACGCCAACTAGGGAATGGAAATGGAATTCGTATTGCATAGCAATTTGACACATTTCAGATCCCATGAGCTCCGTGCTCACAAATATTAACGAGTAAAGAACAAAAGCCAACATGCTATACAGTACGTGCATATACAGTACATGCAGTACAATTTTAATTCCATTTCTGCACATATAGATAGAAAAGGAAACCAACAACTCCTTGATTTTTTGCAATGTTCAGTGGCTGAACTCCACAAAATATATCCCTAGCAAACAATGAGAGGGGTCAAATGCAGAAAACAAAGATCCAACAGAAGGAAAAGATCTAAGAACACTTCCAAAGCCAAGAGAAGTGTTTCTGCAGATGAACGTGACCTAATAAGACTTCAGATGCTTAACCTTTATAAGAATTAACAACATTCTTGTAGCATTTCAGTAAAGACTGGAATTACAGCCAACCTGCCTCTAACCACTGTAAATGGACACACTGGGTGAATATCTATTAGTTGCTCAAATGAAGGTTTAAGAGACACACTCACATGGGTGTGATTAAAGGAACATTTGGTATTAAAAGGACTTCACAATGTGTTGGCTGGATTTGCGTTGGCGTTTTACAGCAATACAGCCTCCAGTCACCATACTTCTTAGATTCATTGCAAATTAGTAATGAAACTTGAGCCACCTAATATATTGTAGGATGGGGCCTATCACAACGCTTTAAACAGGCTGCGGAAATAATGATTTCACTTCTGTACAGTATGTTTAATCTACCGGTATATAATACTACAACATGATGAACATGAACCTCCGGGGATGGTGAAGGGTTTTTCACAGATCTGATCCCAATAGCTCGTGGACAGAAGGTGTAGGCAAGGCGGGTTCTGCTTACCTGTATCCACTGAGGAAAGCCTCTCCTCTGGTGATGGAGGTATCTCCTGTCAGCATCCGGAATGTGGAAGTTTTCCCAGCACCGTTGACACCCAGCAACCCAAAGCACTATCAGACAAAGACAGGCAAAAGGTCAAGCCAACTTTCCACACCCTGTATACTTTCCATGGGCGGCCTTAAATGTATGTCAGTGCATCTCTTACACTTGTCCGCTTATACAGTGCACTTGAGCAAGGGCAAGTAAGTGCTGCTCTGTAAGTGCACTTTGTCTGTATGCCATGGTCTGACTGTTCTATGTAGCTGGAATGTGTGGTGCTTCTGTGTAACCACACAGTACCACTGTTTCACAGGTGCACTGTGCTGTTACGTTAAAGGACAGTGTATACTTCGATAAAACTGCACAGGGCTCTTATTCCGTGCAAAGACACTAGGCTCTTGCACCACATAGCATATTGAATAGGTTATCAATAGAGTTGAGCACATGCAGTGGGGCTGTGAGTGTTCCACGTACAGTATGCAGGGTCAGGACTGTAACAGAAGCGCTCTCTCTTACCTCCCCTCGAGGGATCCCCAGACACAGACGATCCACGGCAGGAGTCTTGCGTTGCCTGTACACCTGCACAAACAAGGCATCAGAGCCTGCTAGATTTAACATTAAGAAGGAAGCGCTTAAGACCATCTTAGGAAGCTAAGCTACTGCAAGAGAAAGCAACCGCATTGAAAAGCAGAAAAGAAGCAGATGGATCTCAGTGAGAACACTAAAAACAAATTAAAAAGCTTTTTGGTCGACTCCAACCATAAGCAAGACTTGCAGGAGGATGCTGAAGTACGAGGAGGGCTTGATGGCGGCTTCTCTCGCTCTCCTACAACCCTGTCATTTCCTTCACGAGTCTGATCACTCAGCTCACTACTCAAACAATCCATCTCCCTCACATGTATCTATTTATCTGTCCTTCTACAAATCCTTCTTCTTGCAACTTATCAAAAGCCTCCCTTGATGCCGTCTCTCCCTCCTGAAGCCTCTTCCCTTCCTGATCCCCCTCACTCACCTTGCTCAGCTCCTTCAGAACCAGGATGTCACCACTGGGCCTCCCACTGCTCACTCGCGCTCTCTCCTTGGCTACATCCTCATCCTCTGGGCCCAGGGGAGGCAGAGAGCCCACGAATGGCCTGAAGGGCGAAATGGACACTCCTGGCCTTAACGCAAACAACCATGTAACTGTGCAGATTATCATCGAACACCGGAACATGTCCCGTATGTCCAGCAGGACGTTAAGCAACAAACAGCTTGATTTTACTTTTAGGCCTAAAGTGGAGGAAATCAGTCTTCTAGTTGCAAGCACAAGCATACAACACCTACACAACAAAACACCTGATCGTTTAAGAATAATTACTCTTAGAAATTTTGAGAAGCAAAAGCAATTCTTAATTATCTAATTATTCATATACAAAATTAGATCACAAAGGTGGGCAACTCAGGTTGGTCAAATGTTCTTTTAGTTGTTATCAAAAATTAATCCATAAAACCTCATCTTAAAATTTAGCTTTACTGTGCTTCATGTGACATGGCAATTATATCCGTGTCCAAAGCGCACACCGCTGTAGCGGTGAAGAAATGCGATCTGCTTTTCTTACTCATTTCACATAAACTAGAATGTCAAGTAGGTAGCTATGTCAGCATGTGTAGGCTCCAAAGGAACAAATAAAGTTTTTTTTTCCATGCTGAAAAGAAAAGAGACAACATTTCTTCACAGCCAAAACGTTGCAACTCTTTTCTCTTCAGCGTGAAATACACCTTTACTTGTTCCCGAGCTAGAAGATGACCATTATTGTGGGCTGGAACATGCCAAGCACAGGGTGGTCCGGCGGCGCCTTGTTACCATACCGGAAGCTGATGAAGAACTTGTACTGCAGCAGCAGGGTGAAGAGGAAGAACACCGCTCCCTGCACTGCCATAGCAAACACGTTCTTGCCAACAAAGTCCCAGGACAGTGGGGACAAGGTCTGTTTCGCTCCTGAGCAGAGAGAAAGGATATGGCTCTCTACGTGCTCTTATAGAATCCCGATAATATGGAATAACAAAGGTTCCAAACAAGAGACAGCCGTTTAACCCATCTTGTTAGCCACTCAACAGAAAAACCTTCTCAGTCCATTTCTTAAAGTAGAGCTCTGCAACCCAACTTTAAATATTGAGTGCTTCCTTCATGGGATATTCAGCGTCTCTACTCAGGAAGAGCAGTGCTGTGGGACTCAGAACTGAAAGGCCAGAACAGATGTGCTGGCAGATGTGGGCAGTGCCAGCACAGTAGAGTACTTTGCTTTCAGATGAATGAGATTTTTCCCCTGGCCTTGCATGAAGATACACAA